TTTATTAATTGAAGCTGGTGCATTGTCCTCCCCATTTTCCCCCTGCCAATCTTGACAAATCAGAACATACTACTAGCCTTTTGGCATGCAACCCTCTTCTCATTCTTAGACTAATTTCTTAGTATCTGTCCCTATTCTGGCTTTAAATATTGAAAAGGAAATCATCCATATGTCTTCAGTGATGCCCAGCGGCGGGACAAGGGGCAATGGGCACAAACTGAAGCATAAAACGTTTCAGTTTAATATGAGGAAGAAATTCTTTGAGGGTGACAGAGCACTGGAACTGCCCAGGGGAGTTGTGGAGTCTCCTTCTCTGGAGCCCGCCTGGACGATGTCCTGTGCAGCCTACTCTAGGTGAACCTGCTTTAGCAGGGGGGTTGGACTAGATGATCTCCAGAGGTCCCTTCCAACCCTTGCCATTCTGTGATTCTGTGACAAGTCTTGGAAGTTGCTTAAAAAAATCCCGGTCTATTTCAGTAGGAAAAACTTCCCAGTGTTGGTCCTTACATTGCCCTTTGAAATTCATTTTAGTTTGTCCCATTAGTGGTAGTAGATGAGTGCTTGTTACTCTTGCAAGTTACTCTTGCTTCCATCCTTTTGATTATTGAAGCAATAAGTAACAACTCTAATCCATTTGGCACCTGAATTAACTTCTGATGTTTTTCACTAGGGAAGAGGGAGCGTTTATGGCTGCGCAGCACTTACAAATCAAATGGCATTGTTGGAGGAATTGAACCAAAGCACTTTAGAGGAGGGTTGTGACTCAGTGCAGACTGATGTGGCATGAACCATAGTGCCTTGCTGACTTAGTAAATGATGCATCTGATCTCTAGTTTATTCTGTATTTTGGGAAATGCTTTAGTTATCCATCATGGTTTTACGCTTCTCTTTAAATTGCTTTAGTTCACACACACTTTAAAGTTCTGTGACTTCTGATACTGATGTAAAAACTACCATGAGGAGGTAGCAGTTCCTGCCTGCCTCCGTGGAATTACCTGCTTGAGCTGTGGAGTAAGCAGTTAAATTCTTGTAGTTAAAAGGACACAGAAGTGCAAAGGGAGGCAATATCATAGAATCACCCAGGTCAGAAGAGACCTCAAAAGATCATCTGGTCCAACCTTTTGTGGGAAAGGGAGCCCAGGTGAGATTATCTCACTTACTATGCACTCTGTCCAATCGCATCTTGAAAACCTCTAGCAGTGGGTACTCTGGGACCTTGATTTGGAAAGGGGATATTAAAGAAGTGTAGAAGCAGGCTGAAAGGTAAGGTCTTAAATATGGAGACTGTTCTACTCTGATAGAGGTATGTAGCCTCATACGGAGTAAATGCTCACATGGCTTTCTCTAAACCAACTTTTAAATATGCCAGAACAACAAATGGGAGAGAAAAATAGTATTTCCTTCGGAATAAATATCTAAAAGAATGCTGGGGGAGGGCGGGGAGAAATCCAGATCAAGGGACAATTAGAGTAGCAAGAGGAGGTCCTACGCTGGCCTATGTACCTGGCAAGGCAGACGCTTCCAGACTTAAGGTTATATAGATTTCTGCCAATAGAAAATGGATGGCGTTGAAGGCAGTGTTGAGGGGAGTAGGAGCAGTTTCCAGTTTGTGGAAAGCTGTAAAGGACAGAAATGGGGTTTCTGAATTTAGTTCAAAACGGAGAATGAGAAGAGAAGAATGATAGCAGAGACTACCCCTTTTTAAAAAACAAAAAAATGAGGAGGCTGGTTCTGCTAGTGATGGTGACAAGTATTTTATTTTGAACAAATACAAAGTATCAAGGCAAATGAGATGGGGAGATCGGATGGGGAAAACTGGATCTTGATGAGAGATTGCAATGCAAAAGACAATATTTTTACAGGCTCTGCACATATAAGGAGGCATGGGAGGAAAGAGAAGGATTCATTGAAATTTAAAGGATCCATTGAAAGAACTAGGAAGAAAAAGAAGGACTATGAGAAAAAGAAAACTAGGAGAATAGGAAGAAAAATCAGCAGAGGAGAGTGGCTTTAAAATGTTCCTGACTTCTTGCATAAATAGATTTGTTGCCACAGAGGTATAAGATTGATGTTTGTGTCTACTTCAGAGCTACCTTATAACTCTCTCTTGCAGGTATATGGTCACATTTGTATTTTAGTGCACTCATAATGGTGGGGGAGAGGGTGGAATAGAGAGGCAGAAAAGCTTCGATTTAGAGGCAACACAGAAGTATTTGTTTGCTAATGGCTTTTGAGGCTGCCTAGTTACATGGTAATGTCTTAGATGGCGCGAGTACTGCTTTTTCACTGACCTGTGTTTGGTTTTGTCTCTGAGAGGAAGTTCGTGAGATAGATTGGGCTGCAGTCTTAGAACTGCAGAACCCACACATTGTATTTCACTGTGGTGTTACTAGAGAGTTTAATAAGGATGGTGGTGAGCTAGTGATTCTGCTGATATGTTTCGTGGACAGACTATTAATGCCACTTTCTGAGGGGAATCTTGAATTTCTTTTATACTTTCTTCCTTCCATTTCTGCATACTTCTGGCTTCAGAGTGTTGAAATCCTATCGGTATGTATAGTAAAGGATCATGACTGTAATTGTTACCACTTCAAGCATCACACACATTCCTTATTTCCTTTCTGATTTTATTTTATGTAATCGCTGTATTTCCTGCCCTTTTATTTAGTCAAGTTTTAATGGATGTTGACACCGGTGCATTAAGCTCTTTGTAAAGTCTAGAGCCGTGTGCTTGATCTTCATGTTGCAGTCATTAAAATCCATTTGCATGTGAAATATGGACCTGTCTCCCACTTTTCTACTGTTGCCTGAAATCTCCCTGTAAGTGAACTTAAAAATTAACTAACTTCTTTCCGTTTCCTTTTAAGTGAGGAAGGAAAATTGTCTACCTCACAGGATGCTTCGTGTAAATATGTAGTAGAAGAGAATGCAGAGGTTGCAGAAGAGGCTCCTTCAGCTCTGCAGCCTACTAACAGCAGTCCAGAACAGAGGTAACTGCATTCAAGGATGCTTTCAATCCTCTAAATAGCAGTTTGCATGTTTTTCTAATAGGATTGATCTGAAGAGAATAATGAATTCCTATTAGGTGTCATTTCTGAGTTTAGCTCAGTCTAAGCATGTACTCGCATCTGTTTTATAAAATTCTCCTAAGTTCTATTTTCTATTGATTCTAAGACTCTTGAGTTGTCAAAAATATATTTGCCTTGTACTATTTGTTTTGTAGGGGGTTGTAAATATCCACATTCTATTTTGTGATATGTTACCAAGTTAGAATAGTGACTTCATAAACTTATGAAAACGATGATTAAAATAAACTATTAGGGGAATAAGTTTGACTTTGTCCTGACAATTTACATAAGTTAGGTCTGCCACTTTTTCATTCTGTAGTCTGTACTGCAGAACAGTTGGAGGGAGTCCAGTAGTGCAGCTGTGTGGAAAGGAAATGGTGCCTTAAGTCATGCTTGTTCGATTGTGAATCAGTTGTTATTTGTACCCTTGTCTTCATCAGGCATTAATCTGAATACTTGCACATTTGGAGAAGATTTTTTTTGAAGTACATAAATAACTTGTTTCAAATAAAAACTTGTTTGAAATATGGAGCAGCCTGGATTGCTCAGCATACTTAGTGCAGGAAAGAAAAGATGACATTTTTCTTTGGTAGCTTGGGTACTAGCGCAGTCTTGGAGAACAGTAATTCAAGATGCAGTTCTGAGGGGACCACCACCAGACAGAGAAAGCTGCTCTTGCATAAATTTTTTCTCTGAAATTGTCAGGTTAGTACCGCTTTCTCCCAAAAAAGGCACCAGGCAGTTATTTCTCCCATTTCATTTCCTGTTGAAGTACTTGTTTGGGGGGTTTTTTGACTCCCAAGTTACAATGGTGTGGAAACATAAACAATTAACTCTAAGTCTAGTATGGCTTCACCAAAATCAAATGCCCATAGGGTGACATTAATCACCAAGTGTTAGAAATGCTTAATGCAGATGTTTCATATCTGAGCTCGTTTCTAGACTTCAGTCAGAGCAGGATTCATCTTTATCTTAAAAGCCTAAAACAATGAAGAGCTTAAAGTAGGTGAGATGATCTCCACCATTGAAGGCAGTATTCAGTGAAGACCTTGCTCTGTAACTCAGTATTCTTAAGTACTTTAACATTAATATGTAGGCAAGAGTTCACTGGTTTCCTAGCAGAACTAATGTCTCATTGAACATCAGGTACAATCCCACAGGCTTGATTCTTGGTGCTAAGGCAAGGGGCGGTATGTTGCCATTTTCTGGTCTAGGTGTAATTCAAGGGTGCCCAGAGGAACTGTGCTGTCTCAAAGAAAATCCTTGTAAAAGGGAAAAGGTGTATTTACTAAACCCTGAGTAATCCATAGGGTCTGCTCCTCTTCCTGCAGGGCAGGGCTGGGGGCGTCAGGGCTGTGCATGTTGCCTTCTTGTTGGGGAGCTGAGCGTGTTCTGAAGGGAGAGAGGATTTTGCTTAATTAAAAGCAATTCCAGGAGTCGCTCTTGCCTTGCATTATAAACAGGGTTATGATTCTAAAAATCAGAATTCAGAATTTATATATACACACACATCTCAATACCTAAAGGGGGCCCATAGGAAAGATGGGGAAAATCTTTTTAGTAGGACCAGCTGTGACAGGACAAGGGGTAGTGGTTTTAAACTAAACCAGGGTAGGTTTAGACTAGATCTAAGGAAGAAATTCTTTCCAATGAGGGTGGTGAAACCCTGGCAGGGGTTGCCCAGAGAGGTGGTGGAGGCCCTATCCCTGGGAACATTCAAGACCGGGTTGGACGGGGCTGTGAGCAACCTGATGTGGTTAGCGGTGTCCCTGCTCCCTGCAGGGGGGTTGGGCTGGGTGACCTCTAGGGGTCCCTTCCAACCCAAAACATTCTATGATTCTATTTATTTTCTCAATCTGTAACTAGTTGTTTTAATAGTTTAAAAGCTGTTGTGTTTCTTGACTCTAATAGAATTTAAACTATTATTAGATAAATGTGGTATTTCTCACACAAGTCCTGTGAAAAGTAATTTTTAAGACTGTGAATACTATATAATACATCTAGCTTTCTAGCAAAGACAAAATTGAAATGCTTTTTTAAGCGAAGATTAGAATACAGCTCTACGTACAACACAGAACTCTACTACGTGTTGATTATACTGTTTGCAGACTGAGAAAGATGCAAGCTTGTTGGACAAATTTAGATTCTGGTTTTTTAGACTTGTTTACATGAGCTAGTAGTATGTCTTACCTCTGTGGCACTGGCTGTTACACTAAAACACTGCTACCTTTTCCTGTAAGCCAGAGTTTTCTGCTCTCACAAATTCCATAAATTTAATCAAGAAGTGGATTCTAATCGGAAAAAAACCCAACCCTGTGTACTTAGTTAAAGTGGGGAAACCCAGAAACTGTCTTTCACAGACTCTACTATATCCGGAGGTACTGTTTTTATCAAGACAATATTTTTAATGCTGTTAAGCATTAAATTGTAGGGGAGAAGTCTTTGGGTACTGGCTGATTGCCTTGAGTGCAGATGCTTGTCTAAACCAACAGAGGGCTCTCGGAGCTAGCAGTTGGTTGGATTGCTTTTGAGTTGCAGGAAGTCTGGAGGAACTCCTTTCCTTGAATCCAGCTGGCTTCAGCGAAGCTCAGCACTTTCTCTAAAGGTGGCTGTCACAGCAGATCTTCGTATAAGCGCAGTATAAATATCAAGATAAACACGATTGTGCTTTTGGGGCTCCATGCATGTATGACTAGTGGGAGGAGTCCCCTAGGTAGGTCTTTGGCTGGTGGCCAGCAGTAGTAATTTCTGCTAGGAGCCCTGGTCTGTCATGGACTTTTTTCCAGTTAAGTGACTTACTGCTGTGCAGACTGTCAGACTTCCTTTCCATGCAGCACTTGTTTCTTACCTTCCAGGTTTTCTCTAAAAAGTGTTTACTTTTGTCTAGTGCTGTCTGTCTTTTGTCTAATGTGTACATATTTTTTTTAAAAAGTGTTTTTAGAGCTTAGCAGCCAAAGACTTAGCTAGGGGACTCCTGCTGGTCATGTGCATGTAGAGCACGGACCCAAGAGTGGCTTCTCTGTGATGTACACCATCAGAGAACAGGAGTTACAGGTAACTTTTCTCACGTGTAGTTCCAAATGGTATTTACATTCTTTAAGGGAATCTTCAAATGTATTCAGTAGACTTGCACTGAATGGCAGTCGAGATTTTTTTTTTTTGCCTTTGCTTGCAATTCGTCATGTTCTCACGCACTACTGATTTGATCTCTTTGTGTTAGTCCAGAGCAGTTGAGCCCATGTTTACACTAAACGCCTTATCTAGAAATGTACATACTGTTATTGTTTTCACTTTTGCAGGTTTGCTTCTTATTTTCCTCCATGCTTCCTGAACTTTTCATGCTTATGGACTGACATTCAAAGTATTTGTGAAATGGCAGTTTACAAACTTAATTAGTAACTAACGCAGTTTTTAAGACACGTTTTTCCTGTTGTGTCTTAGCTGCTCACTTTCAAATGCAATCTTAAATACTGGTGTCACATTTCACCTCCCAGAATAAGATTTGGAGAAGTATCAGAAATGTGCTTTTTATTAGCGATTCTCTTGGAGATATTGCATCTCTAGAGATCACTCAGTAGCTCAGTTAATAAAGATCAAGCACTCTCTTCAGTGGCGTGCTCAGTTAATTAAAGTGCTATGCTTAATTAAGCAATAAGGACTCCAGAAAATAAGTGGGATGAACATGTGATTAGCTTGTGTTTCCTCTTTTCAACTCGGGGGTAATGCTGCACATGATCTGGGGTCATTGGGTTTTGGGGTTGGGTTTGGTTGGGTTTTTCGGTTGGTGGTTTTGGTGGTGGTGGTTTTTGGGTTTGGGGGTTTTTTTTGGTTTTGGTGGTTTTGGTTTTTTTTTTTTTGTACTTACCCAAATTTGTTTTGGAGCCTTCTCGTTTCTTGTATGCTTACGTCTTTTTTTGGCCTCTTAGGACTGATCAAGCCAGCCATTTAGGAGAGGCATCTGTTAATGGCCCAGTATGATATGTGGTGTCTACTACCTTGGCTGAAGAAAATGAACTGATATCCAGGTGTTTGAGTGTTTCTTGAGGATTTCATCTAGACCCTGTTGAAGCCAGTCACTGCTGCACTAATTTCGCAAGGGATCAGGACCAGCAACATTTATATTCTAGATTTTAAGACATTGTACAGAAATTCATAAGTGTAAAAAATATTGCACATTGAGAAATACCAATAATTTTTGCGTATGTTTATATTGTATTGTTCTAAATAATGGGTGGCCTGTGAAATAAGATCCTGCTGCCCGTGTAATGATGACAGTAGTGTTACTATAGTTCAAATGGCTGTAAGAATAGTTTTATAAAAAAGTGAATACACAAATCTAATGTATTTGAGACATAACTATTTGATGATTAGTGTGACCAAAGTATTTAGCAGTTTTCATACATTTTTTTTTCACCTTGTAAAAAGAAACAAAAAAAAAAATTAATTCATGTTTCTTCTGAAACTGAAATGCCCTATAAATGTTATTTTGGTTGTTTTAGCTTAAAAAGTGATTTAAATAAGAATTTTTTGGTGTTCAACATTTTACAACAGGTTTTTTAATTGGTAATTGTTTTCTGTATTGTTTAAAACAGATCAAAAATGTAAGTCTATTGGTAGAGATTTTAAGTATTTATTGCTACAACTTAGTTGACAAATTGATGTTACTGTAAAGCCATATGTTCTGTTAAGTCTTGTTTGCTTGAAACAAAACCTTCCAGGTGAAACACTAGAATATTTGAAGTGCACATGGCTTGTTGTGTTTAAGTGATTCACCTGCCTTTTAACCCATTCACCAAGATTTAGTTTAATACCAAGCATTATACAATGGGACATTTCAGAACAATCTGCGTATTTAAAACGCTATAATCCTTTTAGACAAGTCGAGTAAATGAAATGCCCGTGCTGCTAATGTAATTACAGTACATGCATTTTAAAAGTATATAGTGTTTTTAATACAAATTTTGGCAGCAGAGCATGTTAATTGTTACTTTCACTGTACTGATCTGTGTGAGGCTTTCATTTGTATGTTCTAAACCAGTTTTTTCACAGCTGGTTTGTGTATATATATATAGTGATTATGGAAACTAATTCTGTGTAATTTATAATTTTCTATGTCAGTGTAAAATTCCAACAGCCTTCTCAAACAAACAGAAGCAATATACTGTATATTGCCACACTGTCTGGTGAAAGGGTTAAAGTACTTCACCTCCTGCACTTTTAGATGCAAATCCATTTTTGTTTCTGTAATAGTTACATGCATTTATTTTTTACATCATTTGTTTTCCTGACCAGTATTTAAAGCCAAAAGGATACTCTAAACAATGGCCAATGATTTATTTTAGAAGGCATCCCAAGCAACGTGCCTAAACATTACATTGCATACAGAAATAAATAAAAAAACCACACACCTGTATAATGGCATCGCCCTTATTGCTTCCTCTCTTGCATTTTGTGCAGAAAATTTCAGTGGCACTCTTCATTGTAAATTGTTACGAACTGATCAGTTGTATGAAAATGGAGGGAAAACCCCACAGTATCACACGGGTAACTATGGTTGCCCTTTTATTTGTACTTTATAAATGATGGAATCAAGTCAGTTTAAGTTGTTTCTTCAGTTCAGAATTACTTCCAGATCAGCTTGACCAAAAATGTTTTGTATGGTAGCTTTACGGGTGGCAGCTGTCCTTTTATCCCTTTCTCATCTGTTACCAAGCAAGCAGCTTTAGAAACAAACCCACTCATTTTAACACATGAATTGCAATCCAAGTAGAAATCCCAAATACAGGAAAGCAGTGTGGTGGCTTACATAACTTTGACGCTTTATAAGGAATAAAACTTTTGGCCGAAAGGTGGAGCTATTTGTCCCTTGCTAACAAGTTAAATTAACTAGCTAGGTAGCCATGGAAAGTGAAGGAGATAGCGGTGGCCTGTTAGTTGAAACTGTGTTTCAGCCCTATTGCCTGCAGTTCGTATCGGTCCACTATCCAGTTTGTACTAGGCTCAGAATTGAAAAGGGGGAATTTTTTTCCCCCCTTCCCTCTGTTCCCGATGGCCAATATCAGTTGAGTGGAGGTGTGAGAAGTGGTGGTGAGTGGAATTCGCCCTTCAGTGTAGTTTGCCTTCTAATTCAAGGGTGTAATAGAGGTAAACCAGGCTGGCTTACCTAATGCTGATTCCAGGGGTCTTGAGGGTTCTTCCTTGCTATTGCATTTATTGTTAGTTTTAACAGCTTGTGAGGGAGGTGAGTTAAGCCTGGGATTTAACCTAGATTGGACATAGTCCGAGCTTGTTCTGAGGAGGTGTAGGGTGTGTTTTACCCACTAACTATATTATTTGTACAGGGAATCCTGAACTTGAAGGGAAGGCTTTGGAGGTCTGGTTTTGGGGGGGGTATATGGGGGTGTGTACACACCCACACAACTTTTGCCATCTTTTACCAACACTTCATGATGCTCACGTAGGCTTACGAAGGTTTGAACATACTTGCAGAGTTCTTCTGAATGGCTGTGTTACCCAACCTGTTTAATCGAATTTGACTTGCATGCAGTGGAATTTATGATTCTTCTTTATTAAAACATATTTTAATGCATTTGTGAGATGGACTAAAGCCTAATACCTTTGTACAAGTTTGCCTTCCTACAGCGTATTGAGCAGCAGTTAGGATGAAATAGGCTTGCCTTGAATGGCTCATGCTGAATACAGGCATTGCCACGCTTCACGGTGCTCTGAAACGGCTGGCGGCGCCGGCACGTGAGGCTGAGGAATGGTGATGTCAGCTGGTATCAAAGGGATTTTACCCTCAGGACTTCTCTGGTAAAGGATTTGTACTCATGCAAGAGTGTTGCAGAAGTAGCTAGGCCAGCAATATCTGCAATAGCTCATTGCCTGTGCAGGCCTGTGTCTCTGTAACCTGGCAGAGTGGATGAATTCATGCCTTCTTGACCAGCTAAAACATTATTTTTTTAAGTGTAAGTACTAGTTTTCATAGCAAGATTATGCCATTTAAGTAAAAGCGTAAGCCGTCATCTTGACTAACATTAGTATTAATTAGGCAGGCATTCCTCCTGTTCAGTGAGTTGACAGGTAGTCACTGAGAAGACAACAGGAGAGTTGAAACAATCTCGTTACAGCACTGTAAATGCAACCCCGTGTGACCGTGCTCCGGAGTGAAACCTCCCTTCGCGCGCCTCTTAGGCCTTGTATCTACCTCTTGAAGACAGCGACTTCTGTACCGTCATCTACCTACACCTCTGGAAACTTACTGTGACGTTCAGTCTGTGTGTGAAATCCACTGAGAAGTTATGAGGAAGATTAATCAGTTTGTTACTATTACTCATTATAAACTTAGCTTCATGTTTAAATTAGCTTTAATTTCCTTGGAGATTGTTCTGTTTTCTGACATGTGTCTTACACAGTTATATCAGGAAGTATTTATTGTGTATAACTGATGGCTCTATTAATATACTTAAATAATCACTTCTGACTGTCTCAGAATAAATAGTGCTTTCTCCAGTGTAGTGTAAGTGCTCCAGCTTTTATTATAAAAGTGTCTGTTGTTTCCCAAACCAGGATGGAAAATGGAAGTTAATGCAGCAGCAACAAGCCTTTTTTTTTTTTTTTTTTTAAGTTTTTAACTTCTGCCTTCTAGTTTCTGCATCTCACTTCCTAACAGGTAAGAATTTGGTATCCTTCTGTTCTACTATTGTTTAAATATGTAAGGTTATGGCACGGAGGAATTGAAATAAAAAATACTCCCTAGCATAAAAACAGAGGCATTTTCCTCCCCCTTTAGCTAGGACAGTTGATGAAATCTTTTGGACTGGCCCAGACCTACCTTGGCTTTCTGGTTCAAATTGTTCCAAGCCTGGGATGTGTCCTGTGGCTAATGACTTCTGCATCATTACGCTTCTCTTAACGACATCTCAGGGAAGTCAGTGTGTGCTTCTTAGGTCACAAGCTGAAGCGGTAACGAGAACTGAACTTTACATTGTGTTTTGCTAGTAGTATCTTTCAGAATTTCTCTCTCATAGCTGAGTCTGGGCTCAGTGTTTGATGCATCTTTTTCCATTGGAGAGGGGAACTTTTTCTGCATTTTTATCTTCTCTGAATTGGTAAGTACCTTGCAAAACAAGGCAGGATTCCCTTTTATTTCATCTTTCTGTCCTGTAGCTTAAGTACTGTAATTGTGATTCTAGGACCTTCTTCAGGAGGAGTGTTCTCCCTTCTCATCTTGGATCTCTTCTGCGTGGTGCGGGTGCTCTCCCGAGATCTATGATGTTCTCTGCATCTCAAAATATGGATTCTGAAGACTGTAATTTAGATCACTATTGTCTGTTGGCGTATGGTTACCCAGAGTAAGAGAAGCAAATCTTGCCTAGCTGTGGTTGAGTAGATTTTGTCACTCCTGTCTCATGACACTCAGCTCACCCGCTTGCTCAGGTAACTGTCTGGTTGTCCTGCCACTTGAGTTTGTGGATGATAGTAAGATAGATTGGTGGTTGATTCTCAAGGGCATAATGGAGATACTGCATTTTTTTTCAGATGGAACCTGAACCAGTTACTGACAGATCTGTTGGGACTGCTTTTGAACTCCACTATGCGCTACTCTTCCTGTCTGTCTTAACTGGGGGATGTGTGTGTGGTGTCTTTCCCTCTTGTCTACACCAATTATCTTTCCAAGGTTGTCACAATTTCATCTTGGGTAATAGATTAACCTGGTTCTTTTGCCAGGGCACTGAAGCCTGACTGCGTATATTGCAAATAAAACCTGCTTTTCCTTACACCAAACAGCATTAAGTGTTTGGAAAATCCCACTTCACTGGTTTTTTCAGATGAAAGATAGGAAGTGCTGACTGTCTTCTACTGCTTCTTGTAGCTGACAATGGCACAAAATTGCTAAGACAAGACTCTGCTAAAACTCAAGTGACCTTGTTTCTGCGGTTGGAGTTCTCCAGAGCACCTTTCCTACTATGTCCTTGTAGAAGCACGCGTTGATAATGCTGTATTTGTTAAAAAGGGCTGTTCTTCTGTAGTCACTGCTAAACAACGATTCTGAAATGTGCTTTCAGATGAGCCGGCGTCTGCTTTGGAGTGAGCCATAGCGGACCGTGCATATTGATCAGCCAGCATTCAAATGAGAAAAGGGAGTAACTAGGAATTGATCTGTTCATGGGACTGCGAAATCCTATTCTTTCTCTGTAGGCCTGTCAGAATTAAGTAGCTGGGAAAGATAAAAGGGCTGAGGAAGTGTGCAGGAGTTTTTTGTTTTGTTTTAAATGATGGTGCTTGTACATGTCCAGTTTGAAGTACTCTAAAGGCAAGTCTCTGAACTCAGGAAGTGATGGGTGACTCCCTGATAACTAAATTGTTTCAAGTGTCATTGACACGATTCATATATTATTCACATTGATTGCTATGTCTAAGCACTTAAGACAATTTTTAACGAAGCTGTATAAATAAATACGGAGAGAGAGACACTCCTGTGTGCACACATCAATGGGTGGGGTATGTTCTCTTCTTACCATGGCCAGCTGCACTGTGCGTGGTGCGCTTCCTAAATGCACTGATCCGTACAATGCTAGGAAGGAGAAGGAGGTACTTGTGCGTAAGGTACAGCCCATTCTGAAGCACTTCAGTAAATATAAAATGTTTTTAAGCTCCTGTGTCTGCATGTGTAGACGCTATCGGTGGTCTCCAGCCAACCTATGCGTAACTTGATGTAAGGAGCCCCTGGTTCCTGAGGCCAACTTAAACTTTTGTCAAAGAAGATTTCTCCGCTCCTCTCATAGTCCAACTACTTGATATATTTGAGACTTTCTGCTGACACATTTATAGCGTCCCAGAAACCGAGGCAAGACTTTGTGATTGAATCAACGCTGTCAGCTTCAGCCAAAAGTGGTTCATCTGTAAACTTGTACTGCTGCTGTTAATCCAGTAACTGCTATGCCTCTGCATGCTGCATTAAATTCTTCTCGATACAATGGTGAGATCTAGCTGCTTCAGCAGCTGTCACCAGTCCCGTTCCTTAAGAACACACTGATGGGTTGGCTGCAGCTTTGAATTTGGTGTGGCACAGATGTAGACCATCACACCCTGTGTGAGAAAGGTAGGGTGTCTCTGATGTGGTGGAACAAGCCTCCGGTTGGTCTAAGGAGTGGTGTAATGTGTCCTGCAAACAGTCCAAAGGAAGTAAACTCTCCTGTGTGGTTACCTGCTGTTCATCAGGAGCTTCCTGGTGTCTCTGCTGGAGGAACAAATTGCCCTTGACTTCGCGTTAAGTCCAGAGAACAGGAGCCGGGTGCATGCGGGCCCCCCTCCCCCCAGCCATTCCAGCGTCTGAGCTGAGCAAGCTGCACAGAAAGGTCTTTGGAGATGACTTGGCTCTGAAGGAAGCTTCATGTGGTAAGGCGTGCCTAGTGGGAGTCTTCAGTTATGACCTAGAACAGAGTGTCTCAGGAAAAGGCTTTCACTGTAAAGCAAGGTGCAGGTTAATGGTTATGTTGTTAAGCTTGAATTTGCATATGAGCGTGCTTGGTGATCTTTCATCTGAGCTATTCTCCAACATCCTTTTTCTGTGATACGAGAACGTATGGACTATGTCCTAAATGACTATACGCCTAAATGAGTAACTAGTTGCTTCACTAGAAGGGTTGTTGCAACTTCCAAATGCAGTCTCGGGCCAAGTGTCTGGAAAGGAATAAGGAAAGTGGTGTTGGGGTAGTGAGATGGGTTAACCTTGGCTGGGGAACAGGTGCCACCGACACACCCTATTCTCTATCACTTCCCTCTTCAGCAAGACAGGCAGGGAGAAAATGAGATGGAAAAGAAAAAACACTTGTGGGTCAAGATAAAGGCAGTTAATAAAAGCAAATCTAAGGTCATGCATGGCAGCAAAAGCAGAACAAGATTTTATTTTCTACTTGCCATTAGCAGGTGATGTCCAGCCACTTCCCAGGAAGCAGGG